AATTATGTTATACCGGTTGTTGTTTTGCTTAGTGTTCTATTGGTCATAAACACGTATGCACAAGCACATGTCTCCAGGTGTTCCAAGTGCTGCATGAAACGTTCATCAATGCCATAAAGACGTGTGCTGACTGTCTGCAAGTATTGCTTGACCAATTTCCAAATTTTGCGGATCATGGGAATTTTTTTTTACCATAAGCCCATAAACCTTTCAGTTCGTTAGAAGGAATAATTTGATTACTTATTAAATATAGTATGTGCCGTTATTATTCCGTTTATATTTGCTTTATGGCGTTAGGCTATTTGTTTTATTCATAAGTAAGAGGACTATTAATATTTTTATTAGTACAAGTATTACCTCCTTTTTGTTATTATTACTTTAGAGAAACAGCTTTAAATCGGAGAGTTCTTCACAAACCCGGGACAGGCAATACACAGCATTATTATCCAAAAACGGTGGGAACATGGTTTTCCGAATCTAGGCATATTCTATATAATTGATTTAATGATCACTTGTTAAGAACACAAGAGATAATTGGTTCCAATTCATCAGTCGATGCACGCTATCTTTCAATTTAGTTTAATGGATAATACTGTGCTAACTCAACAAGAATCAAATATGGAAACCTATGATCTTCGACAATGCATTCATGGTTCCCCGGTTACTCGACCGTGACAACGATTTTCCTGAGCTACACCGTTGTGTATTCTGCGTTTTCCTTGCTAAATATTTTCATTTGTTGGCATTTATTGCCATTTATTATACTGTGCAAGGGATTCTGTTGAATTTGTAGGTATTCAAATATAAGATTCCCTACTCAGCAGTATATATATATATTCTTTGGACATGACAAAACATTGCAATTAATACAATTCATTACAGCTATAGGAGACGGCATTCAATAAGTTACATTTGTTGTGTATCGTTAACTGGCAGTTTGGGAATCCCTTATTCCAAAACATTCCACTGCGTCGGTCAGTCAGGAATCCTACTTATTTCCAAAGTTTGACGAATACTTGCAATTCTTGAATTGTTTCAATCACGCGGAGCATAAAATAGCCAAATATAGCGGAAGTACTGTAGATCTTTTAGTTATTATTTGCTTATCGTTTATCCTCAGGTTTACTGATTGTCTGCGTCTGTTTATTTGACCCATTACTTCTAGTAGCCCAAGTACCGTATGGATTAAACTGAGCGGAGGATTTAGGCTTGCTAGCGAACAAGATTAAACATGTTATATTTGTCTAATTCAAATTTGTGCGTGAAACGTTTTGATAAGTTCTACAGACTTTGCTTCCAGTCTGCTGTCAGAAATAACCACATGACAACTGATAAGAGTTGGGCACCTGGTACCTCGCCCTACATGAACGTCGCGTGACTAAAGCTTGACAAATGTTACAATAATTACATTTTCAGGATTGCTTTTCACCTCACAAGAAATGATTCTATGCTTCACATTTGTTACAAAATTTAGTTAGCAAGCTCTTTTGATTTCATAAACGTGCAGTTACATAAGTATGAACTTACCTGCACCGTATACGCAACTACAAATATGCCCCACAAAGCATTTTAAATCCATCATATGAAGTAATGAAAACTCATCCATAAAAACTAAACTTCAGAATGCCAAAATAGCGTTGAGTGTCCTCTTTAACGTTTGCAATTAACAACACCATGTTTTTTTATCGAAAACAGTTAAGCTTAGAATTACGAATGATGTTGTGCATTGGCAGTATTCATTCGGAAGCACATTGCGGTTGCACACAGCTGAGTGCTTGTGCACTCGGATAATTGAACTGGCCAACATGTCGCGCCCAGCTCTGTTGAAAACCTTACGTAAAAGCATCAGTTCATACAAAGCAACAGTTATTCCATTTCATGATAACCGGTGCTTGTTTTGTAGTTGCATATTATTGCAATTATATAAGAGGTAGATTTCCTAAAACTAAGTTACCACAAAGAACCGCTCCGGCCTAACCAAAATTTAATGCATATTTAATGGAAATTCATATTAATTGTGTTTATGATAATACATTTTTGCCATTCTGGCGTAAATCAAATGGATGGCATATCAACAATGCTAGAGAGCTCACTCTTTTTATCTTCTACCCAAACTGTTTGTAAAGTAGAATATAAAAAGAAATTTGTCGTTGCTTCAGAATCATAAGCTGCGCCCAAAGGATTTACATGTAATTAGAACATAACAAATAACCATGGTTTCAGAAGAGTTACAAAACTATCGTTAGCAAACGATTAAGAAGGGACATTCGATAACTAAGACATTCATGCTGAAAATGTCAAGCGCAAATCGATCATTTCTAATTACTTTGTATATGTTTGTGCTCCTAAACTAGCTAGTATGTGCAGCAAAACTGGTGTGGACGGCGTAAGTTTATGTCACGCGAGAGAATACATAAGTTTTACATAGTTGTTTAAATCTAGAATTTTGAGGGTGCGCAGTAACAGAGCTTCTAGATCGTAATTGTCTCACTACGTTTAACAACCTAAACGTGGCTCTCAGTGGAGATTAATATTCTAGTGAGCAACATAAATAAGCGGATATAAAATATGGCTGTTTATAATTCTTCTGCGTCTGTCAACGAGGGTTAAAGGAACTGTCCGGCATTACGCGTTGCCAAAGGCGATGTCGGTTGTCTCCAGTTGCTTGCGTCTATCCAACCTATATTGTATGATATAGAAAGTATGATTCAATCCGTACAGGTAGTTTTATACCTAGGAATCTAGTGAACACATGCGGTGGTCTCGGTTTCAACATGGAGACAGGAATTTGTTTATTTTGAGCTGCGGCATTTTATAGCTTGCTGTCCAGCAAACAGATGGCGGCATCTTGTCTAAATTGACTGGGAAATATAAACGTAGTTTTATTTCACATTCGCGATCAAGTCCACGCTGGGGGTTTGCGGTAATTTGCATTATGAGAATTGTATAATTATAGAAAAGAGTCGTTGGCTGGAATTGTATTAAGCCGGTAATATTCCTCGGCCTTCTATATTCTTGCGCTTCAACTTTTAATGAAAAGAACTGCGGGCACTATTATACTGAAAGTAATAAGACCCGTAAAATACCAAAAACATGTCTGCTGCAAAATTGGCATAGTGTGTTTACATCGTGCGCTCAAGCGCTGAGATTACTTGCTTATGGAATTTCAAAGGTTTCAACTTTTCTACATCTATTTATTATTATGCCAATTAAAATGACCAATGCAAAGATGAGCGCAAAATATGGTTTACCCGAAAGGAAGCTTTTTGCGCTACTATTGTGTACCTTATACCCACATGCTTTTGAGGTTCCTCAGCAGCATATACAGAAGCGGTGGTGTTGGGCTAGTGCGACGATCTCTTTTAATGACAACCTGTCAAATATTAGGTTCTGAGTTTCAAATAAAAAAGTGAAATTATTAAAACCATAAAAATCCAATTAACCCACCGAATTTAACAGATAGCAATGGAAGTGCTCAAACGTTGCCCAAGCTTTTCACCTGACTGTTATCCGAGATGCAGCTCCTAACTATTGATGCGAAAATGTAGGCGCGAATCATCAAGTGCTCAATTTTGTGAAGCCTATTTTGTATTTAGCAAAGCAGCACACGCTAATTATTTTGTATGAGTTTTTAGCCACCTTACTAACTTGCATGTCGTTTTAGACCTAAAAATGCATTTCTCCCTGTTACATCACATTGGGTAAGTTGCTTATAAAATATTCATGATTGCCGTGACAGTTATACGCAGTTCTATCATTTCATTACCGGATTTAAGTGGATACGAAGGTTAGCTATTTTACCTTTCACAAGCTGTGGATATTCATTTTCTTCTTTCGCGTAGGTGAATGCTAAAACAAAAAATAATGTTTTGCGCATATTTTCTACTGACTATTTCTTTCTTCATGCGGATTTTATGGAATTAAATTAACCGGATTAAATTAAATGTTCTTACTGAAATTTTGACTTGTGGATATAGGATCTGTTGAGTGAAAGATATTTTTGAATAAAATGAATTTAGATTTATTTGTCCGAGAACGCAAACATTGCCGCAGATATTTTCATAGCTTGTACAAAATTAACTTACGATTTGTTCCGGAAGGATATTCAATCATTTGAAAACCTATTGGTAAGGGATGTATATCAAGGTAGTTTGATTTATCATAGACAAAACATTTTGCGTTAAGTGGTAAGAGCACTTGCACGTTTAAAGGGAACGCTTCTTGCATCGAGGTGCCTTAGCAAACCATAGCCACGCTGGAAGGAACACCTTAGAGCTTTATTGATAAATGCGCACCAACATTAACTCCTGCGCAGCTGGTATAAGTGCTTCCTTCGCTAAGAGATTCTACCGAGCTGCGCAACTTCAAATATTCCTTAAAGTTTATAACAGATGTTGATAAAATGAGCCCTTGCGATAGAGCCAGGTGATTTTGAGCGAAGATTATTTTTACCAGAGTTCTTCTGCTCTAGACCCATGAACAATTTTGTGATTTATAAGAAAGTTCCGGATGTAAGTTAGCTGCACTGCTTAAATTATGACATATATGCTCGTCGATATATATTGACAACGCTAGTTTGACTCCATGGACACACCGTGTCGACATACTGATGAAGTTGTCGTAGAGGGTTTATTGAACCACATAAAAGCGGATTAGTTAATGCCGAATGTAGAGCTACGCGTATCATTCTAAAGGCTTCTACTTTCGTGCAACAATTCTATATTGACGATATTGCGACGAGCTTTAATCAGTGTGAACGTTTCAACAGCTGGTGACGTCCTTAAGTGTTGCATATGATATTAAGAGTGTCTTTTGTAAAGTTGAGCAACAAATACCTGGCTTATTCACATTTTTCATAAATATCACGAAATAAAGAAAAATACGTTTCTGTTTATCAAAAGTATGCAGCTCGGATAACACTTGCATTTCACCAGGTTCACACGCACATTGTATGGGTTGGCGCTTGAGGAAAATTAAATTGCCGTAGAGACAATAGGTTTAAACGATTTTCAAATATTTGCAACGATTTACCAACGTAACCTTAGTAACAGAGTATGCTCAGAAATTCGTTTAGCGTCGCATTGCTTGTGGTTTCGTTCCTGTTTGCCTAAGTAAAATAAACTCTAAGGGCTGTGCTTCTGAGATGGTGTTCCTATACCTAGAAGACCCCTGCATTTCATTCCTTCTGCTCCGAGCAATACATTTGCTTACAAATTCCTATAATTGATTGAACTCCCGAACTCTTGCTGGGACCATTAAAAGAAATGCAGTTTATTGAAACCAAACCCAATTTCATATATGTAATTAAAATAGATGGAATGGACAGTCCATTGATATCTAGAATGGGGACATGTGCCAACATGGGCGCAATGCGAGACAACGAAGAAAATATGCCTATTTGAGGCTGCACGTCCACACTGGCAACCAGCATAGTTGGCTTGCAGGCAACTACTAACATCGGATCAACGTATTTCAAACAGCAAACTGCTAGAAATGCTGTCGCGCCATGTCAAAACCTGTCTCCTCAATTTCATTGAAGTTACTGCACTAAACTTGGAGGAACCGGATATTGTGTGCAAGCACCATTATTGGGAAAATGTGTTTTATTCTGAATGTTATGATTAGACTTCCGCTTTTGGTTTGTTTTTAATGTTTATATAATAGGTAACATTTAAAGGCGTCTCAACTTATCCTTACTATAAATCGAGAAATGTGACGAGACGTATGGATCTAACTCTTATTCGTCTAATAATTTTCTTAATAACGTTAGTAGATATGTAGACTGCAGCAAGCGTAACGTTATCAAAACCAAAAAATTAATGCAGCATTCGTCATTCCATTGGCTTCAGTGCCTATGTCATTTACACGTGTGTCAAGACAAAATCGCACATTGTTGAAAGAAATATTTGGGTTTGCTGCAAGTCAAGGACACTGTCGAATTTGCGCCTGACATCTGTATTCGTTATCACACTATTAAAAACTGTGCCACATAATAAATTTAAAGTAAAATATTGGTTGATGACTTAAATCATTAAGACAGATTTGTGTGAGCACTTCGCTCCTTATTGAAATATCTGCGGAGTGCCGCTTTATGATTGATTTAGGTAATATATTTAACTAGAACATACACAAATTCTTCTAGAAACGATTTTAAGGCAGCACAAATCGACGCATTATCTGAAATGGCAGCAGTTAGTTTAAAGGCTTTGTAAAGAGTTATAAAGAAGGTTATCTATGAACCCGCATTTGCCAATACGGTTAAGATTCAGTGAGCATTCATATTTGCTCGTTTTGTAATACTCTTATCCAGCGAATGCATTAAATTTATTTCATTTAATACTGCTTGAAAAATGACAGTAGCCTTGTTTGACATTTCCGGGGTCCTTGTTTGTTAGTCAATAATACCGTAGCCACATATTTCCTATTTTGAATGATGAAGTTTAAATGGTCATCTGTCACATACATTGACGTGAAAAGTGCTGCTAACTGGATCAAATGTTACCTGTCAAAAATGTAAGCCCCATTTAGGCTGATTGTTTAACATCGAACGTAGTAAGACGGCTAGTGAAAACCGAAAATATATTAAAATGGTAGATTTTATAAAATTAAAAGATTCACTATTCAATTATAAGATCGATATTCATTTCAATATATGCATACATTTTGCTGTTACTAATGGAACTGATTCTCAATGAACAAAATGGGGATAGTTGTATTAAGCCATAAAATTATATAACCATTTTCTGTGAAAAATGAAGCAAAAGTAACGGTGTATATAAACGTACTTCACCTGAAAGAATTAGCCTTAATTTGCGCCGTTAAAACAGTTTAATTTTATCCTCCTATACTAACAGCCTAGTTACTTCCCCTTAAATTATAACACGTCAGTTCAGCTAACTAAAGGTTTTCATTTTGGTTGACTGATATAGATATATGATAAGTTGTTTAATTTTGAAAGCACAACAGATGTAACCTTTAACCCGTAATGGGTCCTGCTTACCGGTTTTAGCTTCATCTAATTTTGCTGTAGAATAAAGTGAGTTTAGTTAGATTTGTCAGACAAATTTAGAAATTGGCTTTCCAAAAAACCACTAACCTTGGAAAAGGCAAATCCTTTGCGTAACAGGTTCTTAAAAATTTAAGGCGTTTTAGTGTTAGAAAATTGCAGAATTTTATTTTTAATATATAAAGCAATCGGGGAATTTTAGTATATAAATTCCTATCTAGATATGGAAATACATTCCTATATAAGCGAAATAAAGTTTCTTAACGTGGCTGCATATTCGTAGCAGAGTTTTGCTAGTCTTTCCGCCATTCGATAGAATGCGGCGATTGTGTTAGCCGCTCCAACACCTTGTTGTCCTACTGCCACAAGATTTATGCAACAATGTATTAGCGCAGAAGGTATTCAGGTTGGTTTTGGAAAATCTTCACCATAATGGAATTCTTTTCTAAAGAACAGCCAGCGAACTGATGCATAATTTTATTCTACGCAACATACTACGCTTAGTCCTTTCCTTATCGGTCGCTTTTTTGAACATGAGTACGCTTGTTTTTCCTATGTATTTCATGCACAATTATAATTGATCGAGCAGCATCAATTAACTGATCTTGTTTGCTTTTTACTGGGTGCATACTACATCCAATAACCCAGTCCCGTATTCCTGAAAAAAATGTTTGGAGATGCGTTATTTAGTTGCAGCCATAGAAGTGAGGCTAAAAATAATATTTTAAACTGTTTAATTTTATATACTATAGGACTAAAACTTGCACATCTACACTGTCAACAATGCGATAATCATATAAATAGACCTGCTTCCAAATTACCTAAGAATTATGATGGCAAATATTGAACTGGCAAACTCAATTTAGTATAATTGCCACAATTTGAAATGTTGGTAATAATTTGTCTCAGTCTTTTGCGACTTGTCAATAGCGAGAATAATGCAGCTCAGTCGGGAACTGAACTTATAATCTGAAAGAAGTGTCGTTTAGTGTATCTATTATTAAGTGACAAATGTGTATCGCAACAAATTACTGTCTGACAAATTGATGGGTAGTCTCATTGGATTCCTGCTAGGTTGTGTACATTAGGACCTTCAGCATGAAATTTTTGATACCATTACCCATAAATTCTCGATTCACTTGTGGTCATGCAGTCTATCACTAGTGCCCCAAATTAATTTTTCATGTGCAGGCAGTTTTAAATCCGTAGCTTTTTAGTAAAACATCAGCTTTATTAAGTTTCGTAACTTGTATTGTCATTGGAGAAGAATCTATGCAATATCGGTTAATCTGTAAGTCTTGTTGATCTGACATAGTTACTGATTCCTAAATGCAAATGCTGCTGGCCACAAGTGGTCAAGAGCGGCGATCCTGGGAGAGTTGAGTGAAGCGTACTTCTTTCGGATCCCAATAGGCTAAGACAATCGTCGAGTGCAATTTCTGACAAGTGAATGATTACTGAAGTCGTGCCACGGCGAAGTATATAATCCTTATTCGCTTGCAATTACCGGTCAATAAGCAGCATGGTTAATTGTCTAGGCTTATTGCATACATTACTAATGTGATTCCTTTTACACCCACACTTAAGACTTATCGTTCGATGGTCACAAAATCAACGTTTGTTTTTCCGCATCAGTCAAAGTGTACAAATACGTAATTCTCCAATTTTTCTTAAATATACTAATTTTCATTAACTCTGCATGCATATTAACCAATTTGCTTTTGACTAACCCATCAGGAAGTATAGGTTTTATGCAATTTAATTTAAGGGAACAACAAATTAATTTGCATTTTTTAATTCAACTTTTCTATTATCATCACGAGCTAAATTGCTTAAGGTTTTACAATTTGTCTGGTTTTAAATAATCACCGCTTTACATAATATAAATTATATTATAAAATTTTTATCGGCGCGGCTTGCAGGTGTCGCAAAAGTAGGGCGTTGAGACACCATTAGAGATAGAAATATTGCGTTCGCGCAAATTTACCTTAATCTAAACCGATCATTACCAATTTGAGCAAGTACTACCGAGTATGTATTCGATTATTTGAAGCTTACGAAAAAATATAAAATTACACAGCCTGACATTGTAAGTCGTAATGAAGATGGGAAAGAAATCCACTCTTTTCTCGAACGTTTTTTTAAAAAACACATACTTTGGCCTACGTAACTTTCACAATTAGATATATAGGCGTGACTGTTAGCATTATATAATAATCTA